CGTAATACTTGAGACACGCAGATGTCTTCTTTTTTGTCACTGGTCAAAATTAAACTAATGAGCTTTTGACTTTTTAGCCTGTTTTTAACTAGATATATAAAATTTCCAGCATAACTACATATTGTATAGGGGGTTCCCTTTGGCGGCACTTTTCTCGGGATGTGCGTCAGTTGTCTTTGGTGCGAAGGTGGGGCTGCCTCGCCTGGGACCAGCACGTTCAGGAGAAACATACAACGTGGGTTTTTGTAGTGCCTCGGGGGAACTTTGCTGGCGGGAGGATCCCCCGTCTGTGTGACCTGAAGTTCTCTCTCTGTTTTTTTGAAGGCTTCCGTAGTACTTGGGACACGCAGATGTCTTCTTCTTTTTGGTCACTGGTCAAAATTAAACTGATGAGCTTTTGCCTTTTTAGCCTGTCTGTTTTTAACTAGATATATAAAATTTCCATTTTTTCCAGAAACAATGGAAATTTTCAGAAATTTTACGTCTCTGTTTTTAACCTTCTGTCACTATGGGAAATAAACAAATCAAGATCTCGTCTCTGGCCATGTGTTATACCTGGAAGGGCTTTTAACTTAAGAGATTTAAATGCTTTAAAATTGTTTTTAAATTTGATTATTTAAAATCTTAATATATGTTTAATTGTTTGTTTTTCAAATGTGATGTTTAGATGGTGTTTCTAAATCTATTGTTTTAGCTGTTGTGAGCTGCCTTGGGCCCCTGTGAGAAGAAAGGTGGCATATAAATAATATAAATGAAATAAAGAACACTGCTCACAGCTGTTGAGTGCTACCCTGTATTATTTGGGAACTGACAAATTTAAAATCTTAATATATGTTTAATTATTTGTTTTTCAAATGTGATGTTTAGATGGTGTTTCTAAATCTATTGTTTTAGCTGTTGTGAGCTGCCTTGGGCCCCTATGAGAAGAAAGGTGGCATATAAATAATATAAATGAAATAAAGAACACTGCTCACAGCTGTTGAGTGCTACCCTGTATTATTTGGGAACTGACAATTGGTGCCTATAGAAGCGTTTAAAGGTGGACAGCACAACACAGTAAGCAGAGCTGTGTGGGGGAAGCCAGGAGTGACAGCAACTGAAGCCAAAAAGGCAAATTAATTCTGGGATTTTAAATACAGAATGTATGTTTGTGTGTTGTGGAGTGACCCATAAAGTACCTCAAAAATGCTTGATGGAGCCCGTGTTTCTTCTGCTTCAGTTACAATGTACTGCCCCAGAGTCAAGTTCAAGATCACGACTATAGAGCACAGATTTGGGGTGGTGGAATGACCTGCAAGGAACAGCAAACCTCTGTGCAACCCTTTACACAGAAATAGCAAAATGAAGCTAGGTTGGCAAATTTTATCCTGATTGAATATTAGCCCGGGAAGTTCCCAGGATGAACATGGAAGAATCAAGATATTGTACCATCTAAAAGACTCTCTTGTCTTACTTGTCTAAGAAATACACATAATTTTAAAGGAGCAAGAGAATGCAGGGAATCCAGAGATGCCAGCAAACTAAGATAAAAATGTTTTCAAATAGAAAAAGTGAAGGAAAGCACTGTGTTATAGCTCAGTGGTTTAGGCATATGATTGTGGAGCCAAAGACTGGGAGTTTGATTCCCCACTAAAAATCAAACTGCCTCCTTGATAGGGGTGGACTTGACCCACAGGATCCCTTCCAGCTCTGCCATTCTATGATTCTTAAGATTATAAAAATTGTAACATTCTCACCAAAACACTTCTATGTGTGCACCATAGTTGATTTAAAAAAAAATAGTTTGGAGGCTACAAAATCAACTGCTACACTGCCCCAAATAGTCCCTCATCTCATAGGCATTCACATAATGCTTAATTTTTTTCTTAGAAAAAAAGGAAGGGGGATTTTAAGAGATTGGGAAGTCCTAAGACATCCCAAGTGTTCTCATGTGCCTTTGCTGTCAATGAATGAATGCTAGTATTTTTTTAATTACTAATGGCTGCAGCTCCTTTTAGATGGTACAATATCTTGATTCTTCCATGTTCATCCTGGGAACTTCCCGGGCTAATATTCAATCAGGATAAAATTTAAAAATGTGTATTTGTCCAGAATGGAGACTGCAAATTCCATCTGTTGTAGCTGCTAGTGAAGGATGGTGGAGATGCAAACAAGCAAGGTACCAGCTCATATTCAGTTATAAAAGTAAATTGTCAGGGTGGGGGTGACTCAGCCTTTTTAGAGCAGTGGTTCCTAACCTTGGGACCCCGGATGTTCTTGGACTAAAACTTCTACAAACCGTAACTATTACCTGTGCTGGCCAGGATTTCTGGGAACTGTAGTCCAAGAACATCTGGGGAACCATGATTTGGAACCGTTGATAAGTAGTAAGACACATTTTTAATGTATCTGTTGTTTTGGGTTTTAAAAAAATGTCTAGCTCTTTGGCATGTCCTTGGTGAAGCTAAACCCTTGGACATATTTTACAGATTGGGAAGTTGGAATCTGAAAATATCATTTATCTGCTTTCTATCAATCATATTTCAAGCCTTCTGACTAGAATAGAGTGAGCTAACTCATAGTGAGATCCGGCCTGGGGTGAGGACTTGTCTGACTATCTTCCCTACCCTCTTTCCAATTAAATTCATAGAAAACAAAGCTGCAAGCAAGAAAGCTGAGCAGTAGAGAAATTGGAGTGACAGTCATGAACACAAGGGAATGTTAAGCAGGGGCTACAGAAATGGACACACAAAATGCTTATGTTAAGGACGATTGAAGGAGAAGTAAAGGAGCAGGGAAGCATAGTGGCTCTTGATTGAAATTATGTGAGATTTCCTTGTGTGTGCCATAAGTAGCTCATGACATTGAGGAGGGCTCAATGCCCTACAACAAGAATGCATGCTCTGTAAAGGACACACGGTCATACTAGAAAGAAGAACTTGTGTACTTTGGCAGGAACCATGTTTGCAGATAATCTGCAATCGGCTTCTTACTGTGGTTTGTCTGCAAATGGGAGAGAAGCTGCTCCCAATTCATGTCCTGTTTTAATCTGACGAGAATGGAGCCCCTGCCACTGCCCAGCAACAGTTCTAGCCAGGCAGTGCAAAGGTAGCCAGGAATCCACTCAGCACTGGTTGCCTAACAATGCTGTTGTTTGGGGGGGGGGGGGGGGCGTTCCAGCAGCTCCATTTTCACTGCATGCTGAGTGGGTAGAGTGTCAGGCAAGGACTTTGCTGCCCTTCCTCTTCCACGGGGCTGGCTCATCCAGTGGGTGACTAAAGGGCAGCCACCACCAAGAAGCAGGTTGGTGGCAGCAGCAGTGGCAAGGGTCAAAGGCATGTCTGTGCCTACCATACACTGCGGCCATCACTGTCCAGCCATCCACTAAATAAATATGCCTTATGGAGAAGGAAAGGCTGTCTTGCTCTGGCTGACCCTAACGGAAGCCCTACATCACTTTAAAATAGTGCTCATTGGGTGCCATTTTAAAGCATCATAGGGCTTGCATTGTATGAAGTCACTTTGCATTCCATCCATGTTTTTCTGGCTGTAGTTGTGGCCTTTGCACATGTTGCCTGTGGTAAATAGCTTTACTGTATATATATATATGAGTGATCCTCACATGTTGGACATGACAAAAACTGCAGAAACAGATCCAATGTTATCTGACATCCCTGTTGTATGAGGAGAGTGTGCTGTAACAGAAAAGTGCCCTTTCTTTTAAGTCATCCATCTTGGACCTGGGGAGCACCCAGAGAAGTGAGCCTCAACTGATTATTTGAAAACATAACAGGGTTTACTGTATATTATAGAGGATAGTAGGAATCCCAATATAGCATGGAAAAAGAGGGAATACAGCAAATACATCTGCTCCCATAGAAAACATCAATTCAGTTCTCAAAACACGTGCTTATCTAAAATAGACCCATTTATCTAAACCATGTATATATGGACCTAGCAAGAGTAGGGTCCAATTTTAAAAGCAAAAAAGGTGTGCCATAGGAGGAGCAGAAGTATCCCCACCCCAAAAAAATTTCTTTCAATCCATCACCTCAACATCTTTTGCCTGCAGTCATGAAAGTGAGTCTGGCTGGAGGATAGGATGTGCTTTTCCAGCTTATCTCATTTACAAGCATAGATGGAACAGGGTGTTTGAGGTCCTGTAGATCATCTGTCTCCGGGCTAAAACTGGCCCAAAGCTACTCATTATGAAGATGGAGTTTTTCTCAGAGATTCCTGACCACTTCCTCCACTTCTAGTAGTGTGTCAGGCACCAAATTGTGATTACTATAAGCTGCCTTCTAGTTACATCCTTCATGTAGTCCCTTGTACACTGTGTATTCAGAACTGAAAGAATTTAGTGCTTGTAAGTGTATGCTAGAAGAGGAATTATACAAGCTTCTCCCATGTGGCTCAAAAGCAATTTGCTAAGGGGAGCATTAAATAATGGCAGCACTTCCCGCTACCAATTTTGCTCAGTAGAAATATCCTGGAGCTGTTTGGGAGCTGCCACGTACCACCTGTGATTTTAAAAAAAATGCTGACAGACCTTTCCACCACAGACAAATCCTCATTTCGATGAAGTAACACAAAAGGTTGAAGGAATTAAACACACTTAGTTTATCAACCCTAGAGGAAAGGTTCAGAAGTCACTTGATTATAGTCATACATTCATAGTGGAAAGATACTAGGTACTAAATGGTTTCATTCTCTCTAAAGAAAAAGTAAAGTCATTGTAAGAACCCATGCTTGCTTCCAGATTCCACAGAAGATAAAATGTGTGTTTTAACAGAGAGCACAATTAACCACTGCTGTACATTATCAATTTAATAGTGGACGTTCGATCACTGGAAAGCTTCATGTAAAGCCAAGACTGTTTCTTTCCAGACATCATGATGTCAACATGTGGTATTCATTTATATATTTTACTGGTGAAGCCAAATTAAAGACTCACAT